CCTGATGAGGCCTTCTTGATTATACAGTTATCTGGCCTCATATCTGTTAAACTTTCCTTAGTAAGATCCACCATTATGCCACCTCCTAGAGGATATTTTTACTGCTCAAAGCTGACTTTTCCACTGCTTGGGAGACAAAGTTGTGATTCACTTCCGCCTCATTTTAGTTTTTGTCTGATGGCTCTCCCAAAATGGACAGGGGAAGCCAACCCTGGTCCCCAAGAGCTGCAGCCCTGCTTGTTTTCCAACTATCAGGTGTGTTCAGTCACTCAGAAGCTGGAAGATACTAATTCACTGTCTTTTCCACTCCACCACCTCCTCTGTATCTTGGATGTCTGTTCTCTGCCTTTATTTTTCCCCTGCCCAGTCACTTTAATCCATAGTCACTCTACTTTACCATGCCTGGTCACCCACTGCCCTTCCCCTGTTATCACATGCTCACTCTCCTTTATTTGCCACACCCATGCCTAGCTCTAACTCTTCAGCTAATCGGGTCATTTAAACTCCTCACTCACTGTCATATTGTTCTTCAGAATACCATACTACATCCCTTGGTGTCTTCATGCCAAGATGATTCATTGCTCCTCCAAATTCTCTTCCTCCTCCTTCAGTTTGGTTGTTCACTGGTTGATTGTTTTTCCTCCTGTTATTAGTAGTACTTTTTGTTGTCTTCCCATGTTAATTTGTTTGTAGCTGTTAGTGCTAACCCTTTCTATTCATGCTGCCTTATTTACTCATCCAGTAATTAAGAGATATCTGAAGACACCTTGGGACAGGATCAGGAAAATCAGTGGGAAGGCTGCATTCCACCGAATGGTGTTAAAGGATGTTATAACAAGTAAGTTAATGTAGTCTGTATGTGTGTGGGTGTTTGCTTTTTGGCTATTGGAGAATTCAAGAAAATAGATTTTATGGCACATTTAATAAGAAATGTTTTATTTAAAGGTGCAGTAAGACAGAACAGATTGACTAGCACGGCAAGCAACATGGAGGTTGAGGTTGCCATAAAACGGTTGGTACTATTTCAGTGTCCCACCCCAAACTCTTTCATGTTTACACGCAGTACTATTTTAGGGCACACTTTATATCGTTGTGTTAATGTTAATTTGTAAATTGCCTTAACAGGTGGTTGCATCTTGCCTCTGACCGTGATGGAGGGAGGAAAGCTCGTGATGGTCGAGCTGGTGTTGCTGCACACAGTCACCAATTTTGACGGATGTTATGCTATACCCAACGACTTCTGCTTTATCACCTTCATTTCACACAGACACGAAATCTTGTTGGCTGAACTGTTCATTGTTTTAAATTTACCACACCTGTTTGTTTGTCCAAAAGGTTTATATTATTGCTGTTCATAAGTAATGTTAAATTATATCTTTAAATGCAAACTTTTGGAAAAAATATTATTTGCAGTTTTGACAGATGCTGTTAATTGCTGTTTGTGAATTAAAGCACAATCCTGTGAACTGGGATAAACTGGAAGCACTGTAAGTCATAAATCATTCAACATAAATAATGGGAATGTTTTTAGTTTTTTAGCTTAATATATGTTTCTTAAGGTAATGATTAACTGAGTCAAATAAGTGGTAAATCTAAATTTAGATGGCCATGTGCTGGATGTTGCCCAGGACAGGTTTGATATCTAGCTGCCGGATGTGTGCCGGTTAAGGACCGTTATTCCAAACCAGATGTCAGCCGTAAAACAGTTGTGAGTCTAGGCCAAATCTGGCCCACACAAAGTTTGCTATCTGGGATACATCCTGTCACAATACGAATCGCAGTTCCTGAATTCTTACAAGTTTTCTGTGTTTTTGATGTACAGTGGGTACGGAAAGTATTCAGACCCCCTTAAATTTTTCACTCTTTGTTATATTACAGCCATATGCTAAAATCATTTAAGGTTTTCTTCCAGGATATTTTGATGGATGATTTGTTGTTGTTATAGTGTTTTATTTCAGATAGATGGGACAGGTGTCAGAACACATACTAAACCCAGAGAGCATTGCACATTGAAACTGGATCAAACGGACACAAAGAATTTATAATCTGTTGTGATAATCTAAAACTCAATAGTTTTGTGTTCAGACAGAACAGATCTGATCAATCAATTCAGGAGCACACAGACAATAAATCTGCTTTACTGGTGCAAAAGCACAGACATTTCAACAGACGTGCTGCTTTTTCAGCATCAAACAACCACTGATTGAGTTTATGTAGATTTTAATTCATTGATGCTTTCTCAGTCTTTGCTTCTTGTGATTAAAAAAAGAATAATGTACCAAAAGGTACATACTCGGACATCTGTTTCGGATGCCTCCTGGACGCCTTCCTAGGGAGGTGTTCCGGGCATGTCCCACTGGGAGGAGGCCCCGGGGAAGACCCAGGAGGAAAATGGATGGATGGATGGGCATGTCAGCTGTCATAATTGTGTGATATGTTCTTGGTTTTGCATCTTGAATGTAGAACTACAGGTACTGTGCTGCATAAACATGTACACTTAAAAATGTAATTAATACAATATGATGCTTTAATTAACTATTCATCAAAACCTGGAGTAGTTAAAACAGAGTAAAAGATTTAAAATGGAGGAAGAGAGAGAAGAAGGAGAAAAAGCTTCACTTTGACCAACCGCTGCAAAAAATGTTTTTCTCAGTGGAATTCGGAACGAAAAGCTGATTCACATCCCATCCCGGAAGTTCACAGTGTGACATCTGGTGGAAGTAAACAAAGGACATGAAGTTGACTTTTGCCACTAAACCTCATAAGAAGTAGAAAAAAGTAGTAAACAAAGGCAACACTAGTAATCAAATCAAATTTATGCATATAGCACTTCCAAACAACATCCAGTTGACTAAAGTACTTTACATGTGTAGTGGTTAAAAACAAACAAGGTACCAGTCCAGAGGTAATATGTAATAGAATAGTGTGTATTTCATATATAGATATTATTTGTAATAGTTATGTAAGGGTGAGCTAAGTGTTTATGTAAGCTTGATCTGTTTCTCTTCTCTTCTCTTACTCAAGCAAGAATATCTTGGGTTGTGTCCTCCTTGTTTAATTTATGGGTAAACATCCAGAGAGAATTCCTCCTTAAATGGGGAATGGATATAGCTTCAGCCTTATGTGAACGGTTCTGTACTCTGCTCATGTTTAGAAAAAGGAAATGTGTGCTAGGTCAACGTGACCTAGAAGTTCATGTACTGGACATTTTAGACAATGCTCGGAAGAAGGGGTGTGGAGGTGGCATGAGACTGTGACTCTGGCTCAGGCCATAGAAGGCTGTGTAACTGGGAGAAGATAAAAGTTAGGACAGCTGTGGGTTAGGGAGAAGAAGAAGGAAGGATGGTGCGGCAGTCGTGAGAGTGGGGTGGGGGGACTCTGGACTCTGACTGACTGTACCCTGTGACCAAGACTGACTGACTCTGTGACAATCTTCTTATTTAATACTGTATCTATTCCATCGCAAGAGGAGTGATTCTGTTCTCTGTTCCTGAACTACCAGATTACCTATTTAACTACTACTCTGTTCAGAATAATTGTAATATTAAATGATTACTTAAATTGGGATGATTTGTCTGAATTAATTTAGTCTGTATTACATTCTAGCCACGACACATGGCAGAATAAAATCAATAAATAGAATAAGCAAAATCAGTGCAAAATATAAAACAGCACAGTAACAGACACACAGATGACAAAAAAATTAAAGGAATGCATCTGGCCCTACTGTGTATTAAATATGTTTTAATCAATGATTTAAAAGTAATGAGGTCAGTAGCTGACCTAACATTAAAAGGTAGACTTCCACAATTTAGGTGCTGCAACAGTAAAAGCACGGTGACCCCAATGTTTATATATGTTTATACCCTAGGAACCTCTAAATGAAACTGGCTTGAAGATCTGAGGGACCTTGTAGGTTTGTGCCAATGCACTAATTCAGTTTGGTAAGATGGAGCCAAACCATTAAGAGCCTTAAAAATAAAAATCTACATCTTAAAATCAATTCTAAAACAGGCTGGAAGCCAGTGGAGAGAAGCCAGTACCCGGGTTATATGCTCCAATTT